CTATCATAGTTCACAAAATGCATCAGATAACAAAGAAAAATATGTTTCAAACTAATACCCTGAAGTTAGTATTTGTCTTTGTTTTGTCTATTGGTTGAAGTAATGCAATCCATTCAAGTTTCAATTTGCAGAAGAAGAAATAGTTTACTTTCGCAACACGAAACTTAAAATCGCAACGCGAAACCAAAATCGCAACGCAAAATGAAAATCGCAACGACAGAATCGCAATGCGAAATGAAAATCGCAACGAAAGAATCGCAACGCGAAATGAAAATCGCAATGCGATTTTGGTTTCGCGTTGCGATCTTGTCGTTGCGATTTTGGTTTCGCGTTGCGATTCTGTCGTTGCGATTTTTATTTCGCGTTGCGATTTTGGTTTCGCGTTGCGATTTTAAGTTTCGTGTTGCGAAAGTAAACTATTTCTTCTTCTGCAAATTGAAACTTGAATGGATTGCATTACTTCAACCAAAAGACAAAAAAAAGACAAATACTATTTCACAGTGTTAAAGAATACACAGTTTAGCAGAATTGGCAGCAACCGAACAAATTTACTTTCAACCAAAAGACAAAACAAAGACAAATACTATTTCACAGTGTTAAAGAATACACAGTTTAGCAGAATTGGCAGCAACCGAACAAATTTACTTTCAACCAAAAGACAAAACAAAGACAAATACTATTTCACAGTGTTAAAGAATACACAGTTTAGCAGAATTGGCAGCAACCGAACAAATTTACTTTCAACCAAAAGACAAAACAAAGACAAATACTATTTCACAGTGTTAAAGAATACACAGTTTAGCAGAATTGGCAGCAACCGAACAAATTTACTTTCAACCAAAAGACAAAACAAAGACAAATACTATTTCACAGTGTTAAAGAATACACAGTTTAGCAGAATTGGCAGCAACCGAATAAATTTACTAAGCAATCTAAGTGAAATGGCTAATCTAAGTGAAATTACGAGTAAATTTATCATTAAGTTAAATATAGAAAATCTTAAACTTACCTCGTTGCGTAGAGTATGAACCTCATTCTGCAACGATACTATCATCTCACGTAGAGCGGCAACCTCACCACGTAAAGTTGACACCTCCACACGCCATGCACCATCGTTATCGCGTAGAGTACCGATCTCCTCACGCAAGGCATTGACCTCATCACGTAACTCCCTTGACTCATCCCGTTGAGGTGGAGGTGGAGAACAGGGAGATAGGAGTCGTGGCATCTTTGCCGGTCGCCTATCATGAGGTGATGGTGGAGAAGAGGCTCGATGATGTGACGGGATAGGTGATGGCTCTCGTTCTAGAGGTGTATAGTCGGGTCGATCGGGTGATGGCTCTAGGTGAGGTGATGGCTCTCGAATTGGAGGAAGTGGATGCTGCTCATCATCCGTGCCATCAAAAAAACTCTGACTAGCTTGCCACCAATCAGTGGCAAGCTCTTCCTCCGTGGGTGTCAGTCTTTGTAATGGAATGTTGGCCTCCTAAAATATAAAAACTCAAACAAAGTTAAACGTCTACTATTAATAACTTGTTTATATATTATATGAAAGTATTTGTGTTAACTTACATTATTTATTGTCGCATATGGTATTAAGTCTTCCCAATCCAACAGAGTTTTCCTCTTCCAGGAAATAGCCCTGGGAATATCATTTGACGTTTTTATTGCATATGTACGCATGCTGGGGAAAGCCTCGAATATCCAAATCTACAAACAATATAATAACAAAATTAGTAATTGTTAAATAATTAATTATAATTTTAGAAACATTATATAGAAATTCTTACCTTAAAGGCCCAAACAAAGCCTGACAAAGTGTATTTGGACCCATCGCCCCGCAAACTTTTGCGGTCATCAAAGGCAGACGACAACTTAGTCCAGGTAGCTTTCCATATATACGAACCCCACGGAAACAGATTCCATGCATTCAGGTCCTCTACCAATATATTAGCTCCCGATGAATAGGTTGTCTGGCCTCTCTGCCTAAAAAGCCGGCATACACAAGTAGTAGAAGGCATACTCGGACAACATCGACGTCATCCATCCGAGTGAAACCAGCTTTCTTATTAAACAATTTCTTCAGGTCGTCGACATGTAGGTTCGGCTTCTCCATTGACTCATCCGGAAAAACCCGGGATAACCATGATGGGCGGGCGATATGACGAGTGTACCGGCCTACATCATCGTGTCCGAATCGTAGACCAGTGATTAAGCAGAACTCCTTCCGCCCAAAACAAGTATACGCTGGTGGAAAATGAAACCATATCTCTTCCTCACCACGTTGTATACTGTCGGGTAGATTTGATGTCATGGTCTGAAGCCACAAATGGGTCAAATTAGCATCTCCACCCGGATGCTGTACTCTCAGCCATGGCCCGAAGCAGGTTTCCTCAAACAATTGTCTTTGAGCAGGTGAAAGCTTCGAAGCAATTGTAGTGGCCAGGCTGACTTTATTTCTCAAGGTCAATTGAGCCGAAAAAAATTTCTACAAAAACAATAAACATACCAAGTTAGATATACCAAAAACTACACTGTGAAGATATACCAAAAACAATAAACATAAAAAGTAGTAGTTTATTCTTGAAACTAAAATTTGCAACACTGTTTTGTCTTTTGGTTGAAATGAAAATCGCAACGAGAGAATCGCAACGCGAAATGACAATCGCAACGAGAGAATCGCAACGCGAAATGAAAATCGCAACGAGAGAATCGCAACGCGAAATGAAAATCGCAATGCGATTTTGGTTTCGCGTTGCGATTCTCTCGTTGCGATTTTCATATCGCGTTGCGATTCTCTCGTTGCGATTTTCATTTCTCTCGTTGCGACAGTCATTCTCTCGTTGCGATTTTCATTTATCTCGTTGCGACTCTTCTGCAAATTGAAACTTGAATGGATTGCATTACTTCAACCAAAAGACAGAACAAAGACAAAGACAAATACTAACTTGAAAATCGCAACGAGAGAATAGCAACGCGAAATGAAAATCGCAACGACAGAATCGTAACGCGAAATGAAATCTAAGTGAAATGGTTAATCTATTATTGAAATGACCAGTAAACTTATCATCAGTTTCAATATGAAAAACCTACAATAATGCAAACATTTCAAAATAAAAATAATTAAAAAAACTAACCCTCGGAGGTTGATTTTCCATTTCTGAATATTGTGAGGGATTTCTGACAGTGAATGGTTGTGAGGGATTTCACCGGAGATGGGGACGGAAATCTTCGGAGATGGGGACGGATTTCTTCGCCGTAGAGAGTGAGAGATGGAGATGGGACTGAGTTGTGATTTTAGGTTTTAGGTTATGAGTTGCGATTACGGGATTTTGTCTTAATATTCGTTTTTGTAATTTGAAAATAAAATACGCGTAGCGATTATAATGGCGCTTTAAATATCGCGTTGCGATTTACGGATACGCGTTGCGATTTTATGTATTATCGTTGCGATTTACCGATACGCGTTGCGATATACGGATACGCATTGCGATTTACCCATACGCGTTGCGATTTACGGATACACGTTGCGATTTACGGATACGCGTTGCGATTTATGTGTTCGCGTTGCGATTTTCATATTCGCGTTGCGATTTTGGAAAATCGCAATGCGAATTTGTACTATCGCATTGCGATTTTCAAGAATCGCGTTGCGATTTTGGAAACTGATTTGCGATTCTGGGGATCGCGTTGCGATTTTTATTTCGCGTTGTGATTTTGTTGGTCATTTTGACAAATCCAAAAAAAGTTGGTTAAAATCGTATATTATAACTTTTTTTTTGTCACTGAGGCGATTTTCTCTTTTAATTTTAAATCATAAGCATCACTTTCTGGAGGCCCTATTTAAAAGAAATTAAAACTTAAAACACGTTTTAAATAGACTAATATTATAATATAAAAAATTATTTTTTATTAAGGGCCTATACAGATATCACTGATTGGGGACCCTGGGCAGTCGCCTCTCTTGCCCAGGGCCAGCGACGGCTCTGGTTGCAGCAAATTGAAAAAAAAAAAACGCCCAAGTAAACATTTATATAAAAGCACTCAGTTTGCTAAAACAGTAACAAAACCAAAACAATGTTCTAAAAACACTTCGCTCATATTTCCTGCACCCATCACATTAAAGTTAGAGAGCAGTTCCTAAGCAATGCGTCCACTCATCTAAATCAATAAATTAGATTTTATAATTCAAACAAAAGCTGAAGACTAAAAACATATATTCAAGTCAAGAGCTAACAAACATGTGTTGGAAATGGAAAGGTAAAATAACTCTTTATTTTAACTTACTACATCCTTTAATTCAAAATCTACAGCTATTAGCATCAAATAATACCAGTTCCACTTCGACCTTTCAACCTGTTAACCGTATCGAACAAATCCTTGTAAATCGAATCTACGTGCAAAGGAAAATGAAATTACCAGTTCCTACATCGTGGACGATGACGAGCTTGAAGCTCGGATAATCAACAGTCTGCTGATTAGGCAACGCCTGCACAATGAATCAACAACAAAAAAGAAAGATCAAGATCTATCTCGAAACTAGAACTATAGATTACAGTTAAGATATTGAAACAACAAAGAAATATAAGACAAGAAGCTGACAAATTTCTCAAAATAAGCACCTGAATAATACATTGAGAAAGCTCCACAACTTTAAAAGACAAAAACAATCATAAATTAGATTACGAGTTCGAAATTTTTGAATAAGCGCATATCTCATCTCAATTTTCCATAATTTTTTTGAAGCTGCTAAAACTAATCTAATTTAACAAAAAAACGAAACCTAATTTACACAATTCTAAAACTAAAAAAGAAAAAGAATCATGAAAATATATATAAGAAGAAACGGGAACCTTTGACAAATTCTTCAAGTTTCGAAGCAAGAAGCTTAGACACATTGATAGCATTTTGAACAAAGAGACGTTGTCTTGGTAATCTTTTTGTTCTTCGACCTTCTCTAGGGATTGTAGATTTGGAGGGAAAACCAAATGAGAAGCCATTTATTGTTTTAGCTGATCTTCAAAGAGAGAAAGAGCTTCTCGACCTTCTACGCTGATGAGTAGAACAAAAATCTTTGAGAATAAATGAAGGAAAAAGTGAAGGAAAAAATGAGAAAAAGGGAGAGCGGCAGAAACCTTTGAGAAAAAGTGAAGGAAAAAATAATCGGCAAAACCTAAAAATGAAAAAGGGGACTAAAAGTTCTGGGATGATACAGACTCAGAAATTGCGGTGCTTGTAATTTGAACGCCACTAAAGTTGACAAATTGCGGCGTCTGGATAAAAATCGCAACAAAAGTACATGTCTTTAGCGACGTAATAAAAACGCCACTACTGTTATTATCTTGTGTCGTTTTCGCTGTGAACGTCGCAATATATGTAAAGTTTGCAGCGTTTACTCTCAAAATGCCACTAAAAACTTATTTTGTTGTAGTGTTTGACACTTGCATGCTCTTCTAGTGAATGCATGTAGTATAGTACAGTGTGGCATTGAGCTCCTAAACTCAGCGTTCGAAATGTGTTTCCCAGCTCAGGTTCCTAGGTAACCAGTAGCAGAGTATTACCATCGACGGTAGTTCTAGATCAGTCGAGGTATTCAGAGTATGTATTGAGGTATTCTTAGAGGCCATGTACTATTTATGGACTCTTATGTATTCAGTCGTAACTCTTTTTGATTTAAACTTAGTATTGTATTATTTTGGATATTTTGGGAGCTCTCCAGTACTTGTAAACTTTATTACTATGTTCTAATTTATTTTTCTATGGATGAATTTTATCAAATGATTCTAAATTTGTTTTAAAAGAAAAAAATTAGGTTAGTCACTTTGGTGATCCCGGGTGATAAGCTAATCTATATATTTTTTGATCGTATTGGATTAGGGTGTTACAATGATACTTGGCGATTTGTTTTTGGATCTTATATTTAAAGTTTGAAACTCTTGGAACACAGCAACCGCGCAAAATACTGATGATTTCTCTGTTACTTTGCCCTATTGCAACATCCAGTGCCGTCCAACCAGCCTGATTGGTGGCATGCTTATCAGCCTTGCAGTCTAATAGCAATCTGAGCATCTGCTACAATCAGTTAAAATGTCAATGAGGTACAAAAGAATCTATGTAACATTAATTATTAAAGCAGATAAGTCGACAAACCTGAGGTTGATTATTACTAGAAGCTATGTGAAGTGCAGTATTGCCATGTCGGTCTTTCTGGTTCACCATTTGCCGATAATAGTTTTTATCTTTCTTTCGAAGCATTTGGATTAGAACTTTAAGAACATCCAATCTCTTATTTTTGGTTTCAATATGCAAAGCAGTGCGGTTTTTAGTGGTAACATCTCCAATACTTTCAGGACAAACCCCTAGAATTCTATCCAGCAGTAAGAGGCCATGGTGGTTTCCAACTTTACTTATCAAGTGCAAAGGAGTATTACCATTCTTCCCCTTGACACGAACTACATCTTTATCCATTTCCACGAAACCTAACGCCATCTCTACGTGCACTTTTTTAACCGCCAGGTGCATCGGGCTTAAGCAGAGCCGTCGCTGGCCCTAGGCAGGAGAGGCGACTGGCCAGGGCCCCCAATCAGTGATATCTGTATGGGCCCTGAATAAAAAATAATTTTTTATATTATAATATTAGTCTATTTGAAACATATTTTAATATTTTAATTTCTTTTAAGAAGGGCCCTCCAGAAAGTGATGCTTATAATCTAAAATTAAAATTCAATATGTGTATAAAAATAATTTTTATATTATAATATTAGTCTATTTAAAACGTGTTTTAAGTTTTAATTTCTTTTAATTGAGGTCCTCATTTTTTTTGATAATTCAGCTTTTATTATCTAAAGAGCAGAATTTGCTATAAAATATAATCAGGGTTCAGAACAAAAACAATCTACATACAAAAAAATCAATGATTAACTATACCCCAATGATTACAGAGTGAAATATAAACACTATAAAATGTATTGATATTCCCACCCCTAAGTTGTAAACTTACAATATCCTTAATAGCCTTAAAAATTTCTTCAGCAGACCTGAATCGACCTTGGAACACCCTTTTGTTTCTTTCTTCCCAGATTATATAGATGAGTGCATTGAGAACAATCTTCATCACTAATGTTAACAAGGATTTGCCTTTCCATGTTAAGCAAGCCCACGCTTCGAATGTTTCCCATGAGCAAGCAGTAAAATGCAAACCAGAAAGTGAGAAAACAGTTTCCCAAATGAAGACTGCAGTAGGACATTTTAGAAAAAAATGCTCCCTAGTTTCCAGTTCAGAATTGCAGTGTACGCAAAGGCTTTCATTGATAAGCCCCATTCTTTGTAGCCTTTCCTTTGTAGGGAGCCTATCAAGGAAAGCCATCCAAGCTATCAGACTGTGCTTGGGAATATACAACGGAAACCATAAGAGTTTATGCCAGGGGACCTTAGGCTTCTTCTCCCGGATTAAGTCCCAAATTGCAGTAGCTTTTAGTTCTCCTGATGACAGAACTTGGTGTGCCTCTGGTCTTAGCTTTAGTAATTTCATTAAACTCCAACTGGCAGTGGAGTTTATATCAACAGACCAGAAATCTTTCTCTTTAAAAACATAGTTTTGGAGCCAAGTAACCCATAGAGATCATTCACCTGCAAGTATGTTTTTAATTAATAAGATCATGCTAGCTTTATTCCAGGTTTTCATATCATGTATCCCAAGTCCACCTTCTGATTTCAAGGAGCAAATATTTCTCCAGCTTACTCTTGCTCCATTGGCAGCTTTGTCTATCCCCTTCCAGAAGAAACGAGAGCAAAGTTGCTCAATCTTTTTTAAAACAGAGTTAGGAAGGAAAAGTTGCCTTCACCAGAAATTGATGATACTTGACAGCACAGTTTTGATAAGTTCCAACCTTTTTGCATAGCTAAGAGTTTTGGTGGACCAGTTGTGCAATCTTGATTTGATGGATTCAATGAGGATCACACAATTCTTTTCAGAGATTTTCCTTGTTAGCAGAGGGATGCCTAAGTATCTTAGTGGCAGAAAACCAAGGTTGAAGCCAGTAATCCGTTTAATTTCCTCAATAGCAGTAGTAGGCATTCCAATAGCAAAAAAATCACTTTTTGAAGCATTAAGTTTAAGGCCTGACATCTTATAATTTTTTTCTAAAACACTAGTAACCCCAATAACAAACTCAACATTCCCTTTGCAAAAAATAAGGAGATCGTCAGCAAAAGATAGGTGTGTCAAACCTATTTTTTTACACTTGTGGTGGAAGCCAAACAATCCTCTTGAAGCATCCAAATTAAGGAGATTGGAAACAAAATTCATGGAGAGGACAAAGAGTAAAGGAGAAAGTGGGTTTCCTTGCCTTAGGTCTTTAGCTGCCTTAAAAAATCCAGTCAAACTCCCATTAAAAGAAACAAAATAACTTGTAGTAGAAAAACAAATTTCAATCCAAGTGATAAAGGACCTTGGAAGACCAATGGCCTTCAGTATGGCAGAAATGAAGTTCCAATTGAGTGAATCAAATGCTTTATGAAGGTCAATTTTCAGAGAACATCTAGGGGATATGTTCTTCCTACTATAACCTCTAACAAGTTCGTGAGCCGGTAAAGTGTTATCAGTAATGCTTCTCCCTTTAACAAATGCAGATTGATTAAGAGTAACCAAGTCACGCATAAAAGAAGTCATTCTTTTAACCATAATTTTTGAGATAGCTTTGTAAACCATAGAACAACATGAAATTGGTGTATAGTCTTTTACCTTACTAGGATTAGGAAGCTTTGGAATCAATGCAATAATAGTTGTATTGAAGGCAGAGAGGAGAAATGACTCTTGAAAGAATTGAGATATAGCGGCAACAACATCCCTCTCAATATCAGACCAAGTTTTTTAAAAAAGAAAGGTGAAAACCCATCTGGACTTGGAGATTTTTCATTTCCTTGATTGAAGAATGTCTCTTTGATTTCCTCTTTAGTAACTTCCTGCACTAAACTATCAGCCTTATCAGCAGGCAAGGAATACTTGATTAAATCCTTTAACATATTAGGATTAGTGTTAATGACTGCAGGATCTTCAGTGCCAATCAAGTTGGTGAAAAAGTTAATCACCTCTGTAGACATTTGATCATAATATTCCAGTCTATTGCCATTCTCATCAATGAGGATGCATATGGTGTCTTTTTTATTTTTAAGAGCTACGATTGAGTGGAAAAATCTGGTACATTTTCCCCCCTCCTTCAACCATTGAACTTTTGCATTTTGTCTGAAGAACAATGTTTCAGCTTATTCGAGAATTTTTTTAACTCATTTTGAATGAGTATTTCTTTGGCAATGACATCTTCTCCTTTTAGAGTTTTTAGTTGCTGCTGCTCTAGGTCAGATTTCTTTTGCTTAACCCTTGCAGGAAGGTCACTAAACCATATCTGGTTAAGGTTCTTGAGGTAGATTTTCAATCTCTTTAACTTAGTGAAAAGATTCTACATTGGGTTTCCATGGGCTGGTTTATGCCAATACTGTTGAACCACCTCCATAAAACTAGGGTGATTGCTCCAATAGTTGAAGAATTTGAAAGGCTTTGGCTTATTGTCTTGAGCTTCTTTTTTTAGTTAAACTTGAGAAAGGCAATGGTCAGAGATACCAGGTGCTTGAAATTCAACATAAGAATCCTTGTAAGTGGTCACCCAATTAGAATAAACTAAAACTCTATCGAGTTTCCAAGCAAGATAAGAATCTAGCTGTTTGTTTCTCCAAGTGAAGGAAGGGCCACAAAAAGGGTGATCAATAAGGTCAAGGTCAAAGAGTACTTCTTGAAAGTCTCTTATGTCTGGAGTGGATAAAGGGCCAATAAGGTCACAGTCTGAACTTTCATAAGAGTGAAGGATTATATTGAAGTCTCCTCCAATAATCCAGGGGGCAAGGCCAACAATATCTTCCAGATCACATAACTGTTGCCAGAGAAGTCTTCTAGCAATACCATCACTGCTTCTATAGATTGCAGTGATGACAAGATGAGCATTTTGAAATTGTCCTTGAATTTTCATGCACTGATCAGAAGAATGAATAACCGAGAAGTTGAGACATTTTCTTCAAAGGATCTATATTCTACCATTTAAGGCATGATCATAGTTAGAATGTGCATTCCAGCCAGCAAATTTATTACTAATAATAGCATCAGACTTTTCTACTTTCACTCTTGTTTCCAACAAACAAAAAACATCCAATTTGTTCTGATTTGCTATCCTAATTACTCTGTCTTGTTTAAGAGGACAGTTGAGTCCTCTTACATTCTAAAATGCTAAGATCATTGTGATTGAGTAATTTTTTTACCCCTCCACCAACAACCTCAGCACTCTTTGATTTATCTTGTTTATCTTCCTTTTTCATATTGAGTTCCTTGACATTGGCAACCACACCTAGTGAAGATGCCCGAGATTTTCTTTGATTTTCCACTGGAACAGTAGTTAGATCATCAATATCATTTAGGACTTGAAATTTGTTAGTTGAGCCGGCTATATCCACTTTTTGCTTCTCTTTAGCATGTCTTCCACACACCCTTTTAGGGATAGTTGAAGAAAATTCCCCTTGGTTCTTGAGATGTGTCACATTAGTGGTTGAACTAGTTTGCTCCACAACAGAATGGTCTTGATAGGCCACATTATGTTCTGTAATTTTGTTTGTTTGATCTTCAACATTAATTCTTGGCTCTTTATCAGTAGTGACAGGATGGTTCGTTTGTTCATCTTGTGGTTTATTGTTTTTGTTCTCTTTCACTTCAACAGCAACATTTTTTACATTAACTTCCTTCGAAAGGATGTGTTCTTTCTCTTGCAGTAACTCAATGCCTCTTACTGATGGTTCAGTTTCTATTACTTTAGAGAAAGTTTCCTTTTTCCTCCAAACTTGAGGTTTGGCATTAATTGAGTTGTTAGACTGTGTACAACTATTTTCGTTATGGTCAAAGGTTTTGCAGTAGTTACATCGTGCTGGCATCCGAGGCAGTTCCACCATAATGGAGACCTTTTCCCCCTCTTTTAGTTCCACTTCTACATAATTGGGAATAATTTATGTGGCTCCTACTTCAATACATAGCTTAGAATACTCGAGATGAGTTTTGGTTACTGTAACAGTATCCATGGAGAGTGGGATACCAATAGCACTTGCTATGTAGCTAAGGCCTAAGTGAGAGTACAACTCTAAAGGGACGTTAAAAAGATGGACCCAGATTGGCAAGGAAGAAAGGTCAAAGCTTAATTTTTGAAGATTCGGTTCCTATTTTCATAAAATTAGAGGCTTTTCAAGACATGCCAAGGGCCATTTTCAAGGACCCAGTCCCTAACACTTTTAGAAGAAAATGAAAAAACATATAAATTATTCCCAGCATGCTTACCTGGACTCGAGCTCCCGCTAAAGATTTCCTCCAAAAGCTGTAAACAAGTCTTTGCATTGAGGAAAAGCTTGGTGCAACACCCAGGAATTGGCCCACAAGCGAAAGATTCCACTCCTTAATT